GGGCTTTTCCATTTACCATATAGTTCGCTCTTGAATTGGATCTTCCAAAATGCATCACCTCACATTTGCCTGGATTGAACTCCGTCTGCCATTTCTCTGCCCAACTCTCCAATCTATCTATATTCTGCTGCATTCTCCGACAGTCCCCTTCACTATCTGCTACTCCACCAATCTTAGTGTCATCTGCAAACTTGTTAATCAGACCTCTATACCTTCCTCCAGGTCCTTTATGTATATCACAAACAACAGTGGTCCCAACACAGATCCCTGTGGAACACCACTGGTCACAGTTCTCCATTTTGAGAAACGCCCTTCCACTACAACTCTCTGTCTCCTGTTGCCAAGCCAGTTCTCTATTCATCTAGCTAGTACACCCTGGACCCCATGCGACTTCACTGTCTCCATCAGCCTACCATGGGGAACCTTATCAAATGCCTTACTGAAGTCCATGTATATGACATCCACAGCCTTTCCCACATCTATCAACTTTGTCACTTCTCAAAGAATTCTATCAAGTTGGTAAGACTTGACCTTCCCTGCACAAAACCATGCTGTGTCATAATCATGTGTCATTTATTGATTTGCCTTTCACATATTTTCATTTTTTAAAGGTGTGATAAGCCCCTTTTCGAACCATGCACAAGATTAGGGGAATATATATTAAGATAAATGTAAAGGTTGTCTCAAGTGAGGCAGAAGCATATTTTAAGCAGCTGATGCCTGTGGGAAAATAGAAGGTTATGTCAATCACAGCTCTTCTTATGCACCTTTCAATGGCTGGAAACAAAGCATCATTGACAGCATCTTGAGAACATGTGGCTCATCCATCCTTGGTTAATAATCTGGGAACTAAAGAAAAAGAAAGATCCCTGAGGATGGAAGCAGGAATAAACTGAATTTAGTAATTTTGACTGGAAAAGGGAACAATGTAAATATGCCACATTTGTTTTTAGAAATGTCATGGTCGGTTCAGTTTGTGGATTGAGTCTTCAGATAAATTCTATTACCATAATTAACATGAGAATGCTCCTTGTCACACACTGATCACTTTGAAGCCTTACAGTACATCATGAACATTTTTTTTTGATTCACCACAATAGCATAAAGCAGGATAATTATGATTTTTTTCCGGAGAGTGGATATGTAAGTTCATTGCTTTTGACCTACATTTTTATTCATTTGCTGAATCTGTCCATATGACTTTATTAAAGGCCTTATTTGCAACGGAACAATAATTGCAATGCTCATTTGTATGCTTCAATTGAACACTACCTTCTATTTCCTTTACAGATTTCACATTGTGCATTGTTTCCAATTTTAGATTTGTGTAGATGTTTCTTAATTGATTGAGCTTTTGGGTTTTAATCAGTTACAATTTCCTTGATGGATTATGGACACTAATGTGTCCTAATGATTAGTTGCTTTGTGAGATAATATGAATATGACAATTCAAAGGGCTGATTTTTGCCCAAAATCAGCTAAGTGTCGATTCCCGCAAGTTTCATGAAGCGATTTTTTTTCTGTGAGCTCTCGGATGTTGGATCACACAATTCTCCCTGCACAACTTATTATGCATGCACCATGCCTCTACGTCTGCATTATCTTGAACTTACCAGTGACGGGAGTACTCATTATTACCAGTACGTTCTGCAATTTCCCCTGCCAACACCATATTTAAAGCCCAGCTGCACACCAGGTCAAACACTGCCAACCATACATAACTGTTAATAATAGATATAGTGGGAAAGAATCAAAAGAGAAAAGCTTCTGAGGGCACATAGGAGGCACGGCTGACACTTAACTGGAAATAGAAGATTACATTTGTAACTGCATTGCCACTTCACATTATCGCCTGGCTAATCAACTCTTATTGTAACTCCAGCTACAGGATTGAAGATACATGGAATATCTATCCTTAGCACTATACCATGTTAGAACCCTGTCTGAAGGAGTGACAGTCTTTCCCTAACGCCCAGCTTATGATAACATTTTGTCATTTTTGAATGCAGGATCGTCATGTTTTAAGCCTTCAAATAGTTGAAAACGTTAACTTCTATTAAACAACAAGAAATGTGAAGAAACAACAAACAAAAAAGCTGCAGTGGCTGCTGGAATGAAACAGGGACTGCTTGCCTTTCAAACAGCAACAGGTTTAGTCGATGCATAATAACTGCACCCACACAGATGTTTTGAAGGCAGGTGTAAACTTGTCTTGCCCAATGCTGTAATGCTCCAACATCATGACGGTGATGTTCCTCCCACTTAAAGTCCTTATCTTGATTGGAAGTTGCTCTTCTCCCAGCTCTTCAGTGTCCATCACATCAACTTTTTGCCTGCTCAATTGTGCAGAGCAGAGCATACAAGGTTTTGCAATACTCTCTGTCTGAACTGTACTGCAAGAACCCCTCAGACTGATCCAAGCATCAGAATCTCATCTTGAAGAGGCCTCTTTACTGCTCCTTGATGCCTCTGCTGGAGGAATGGCCTACAATCTATCTATGCTTGGCTTCAGTCAGGGTCAGTGGGGTTTGGGAATGGTGGAGAACACTGCATAATGGAGCGATCAGCCTTGGTTGCAAGAATAGCCCTTGTTTCCCAGCAGCTACCCCTGTATTGCATCCAGCTCTTGAAATGAAGCAGATAGAAGAATCTGAAGAATTTTCTGAAGGGTCCGAACTTGAAACGTCAACTTTCCTGCTCCTCTGATGCTACCTGGCCTGCTGTGTTCCTTCAGCTCCATACTGTGTAAAAATTTAGTGTAGCTATCACCTGAACAACCACAGGATGGGATGACCACCCGCCCCTCCAGATCACAAGCTCTGCTCCAGCTAATGACACAGTTGAGAGATGGTATCCCAGAACATAAGTCTACTGCAGCAATGTGCCTCACTCATCTGGAGAAAGTGGAAAATAAATAAGGGCAATAGACTCTGGCCTTCCTTTAACTCCTGCACATCCTGAGGGGACCTTCTGCTGTGACTTCTTCATCTGCTGGCTGTTCAGCGGCTGCTAGAGGTTGCTGCTGGCTCTGACACATTTGTTCCTCCCTAATTTCTCTGCACTTCCATTGTATGTTAGCTACAATGGCAATAAACCTACTGTATGTGGATCCATTGGGCATGGTTCTAATGAACCTGTGTACAGAATAGCAGAAACAGAACAAGTCCTTAGTGATGTAAACACTCAGCTATTGTATTTGAATGACAGTTTATTGCATGGGATGGTGTGCATGGATTTTTAACATATTTAGCCTTATTATCAATGTATATAGCACAAACTATGATACAGAAACACAATAGTGGATTGTAAGTCTGTAAAATTACTGAAAAGTTGTATTCCCCCATCCCCACCACCAGAACACCCAACAAAGGCGACATTGTAATAAGACCACTTTGATGAATGCTTACAGTTTAAGGTGAAAGGGAATCTGCTCAGTGCCCTTGTGCAGTATATGAGATCTTCGAATGCTTTTAAAAATTGTGGTCTGTAGGTGACACTTTAAAGGGTGCCTGTGATTATTTCTTGCTTCACAGAAATAACTATGATAAAACTGTGTTGTCCAATCACATGGTCACAGTTGCTTGAGGCCAGGCTGTAATGCTCGACATAGTTACTCACTGTATGCAGTTCACATGTGCAGAATTCTGTAATTGTAGATCATATTGGTCACAAGTACATCCCATGTCCTCAGACAGAAAAAAATCCACTCCACACCCCACTCTAGGTGCGGTGGCAGCCATTTTTAATTTCATCGCACATTCACAGTTCAGATGATATACAACTGGGGTTTAAAGATGGCACAGGCACTGGCAGTGTGAATGTCAGTTAGCCCAGCATCAGGAATTATTCCCACCCAAGTGTGGTGGCAGCCATTTTTAACTTCCATTGTGCATTTGCTTTTCAGATGAGGATGTTAAGGCAACAAGGTTTTTGCAGTGTGAGTCACAGATTCAGCCTGTCAATCAAGGCAAACACCCAACTCCAAATCTTAAGGCTCCTTTCTTCCTTGCTCTCCCTGTTGACACTACCAGGTCTCAGCTTCCACACATTTCCCCTCAACTCTTTCATTGAAGTTTTCACCACTCTAGTTTTAGAAACACTTCCCTTCGCAAAGCCAATTTCCATCATAACATGAACCATGCGGGCCTTGTAGCCATGTAGAAATGCTCTTTAGACTCCATTCTTCTCTATCTTGGAAGCAAATGGGGAATTTAAAGTCTACTGTATGACTTGGCATTCTCAATAACTACCTATTAGTTTAACCACTGTGAATACACTAAAATAAAAGTACTGCAGATGCTGGAGATGGGAAATAAAAAGTCTGCAGCAAAAATACTTACTATTAATTACTTAACACTGCCGGGACTCTCTGGAATTCACACCACTAGCGCTGGTGCCATGTTTAAACCTCTGTTATACACCAGGGCAATCACTGCCAGCCAGGAACTGCCAATGTTGCCGTGTGGGAAGTATTGCTCTGAAGATAGCCGACACAAGAGAGTTGCCAGTCCAATTTGTTGACAGGAACCTGGAGGTCATAGTGGACAAGGTGGTGGAGGGAAGGGGCATTTTCTTTCCTCGGGATTGCCAGAGGACACCACAGCACTAGACCTTGCCAGCCTGGTCCAAAGTTGCCACTAGAGTCAACGTGGTGTCCACAGTAAGGAGTAACACCCAGCAGTGCAAGAAGAAGGTTGATGACCTTCTGCACTCCACAAGGATAAGTGTCAGCATTTTCTCTCTACTACCTCACTCTCATGCTAACTCTGTTATAGCGCCCACCTCTAACTAAGACTCATGGTCTACCACTCTCATAATTGCATATACCAGTTTCCTTTAATTGCCATTCATTCTCAAGTCCTTTGGGATTTTGAGCAATGCACAGCCTCTATGGCTCCTCTTCATTCACTTGGAGCACCTCACCATCTTTCCACCACCTACACCAATGCTAACAGTTGTGCCACCCACTTTGATCTCACACAATCTCTCCCTTATTCCAGAAGAAAACAAGCCACAATGGGGCAGAAAGAGCCAAGATTGGTGGTGAGATGCTCAACAATCGACGCCTTGTCCATTATCAGGAGAGAATCCTTGCTTTAATGGGAGAACACCATGACTGTTCATGTGGGGAACCTGAGACCTCCATGTCATTGGAACCAAGTAAGATTCATTGTCAAGCACTGCATCTTCCCATTATCATCACTGTATTCTCAACATGCCCAAATATCTACCTCTATTTCAGAACTCATTGTCCCCTGCTAACACCTGCAACATCTGCATCTTCAGTCGTGCTTCTTGTCTCTGACAATCTGGATACTATAAAATTTTAGACCAGTATTGTTGGCAAGAAGATAATGCTGACAAGTGATTAATTTGATATAGCTCACGTGCCCATAGGAGAACAAGAGTAATCTTTCCTTCTCTCTTGACCTGAGCTGACTTTATTCAACAACGCTGATAAATTTGTGTTTAGCTGCTTTGATCATAAAAACATCCACAGGGTTTACATTCAAATAGAAACTTCATGAGTAATGACTTATGTGCATATTGTGGAATAAAATTCCTATTTTCACCACTTGACCTTAAATCTAAGTAGCATATGAAATGATTATTAAGTTTTAGGACAAAAGGCAACCCTGACTTCAGATGAAACAGAATCTTTAAAATATCTTCCTTGAAACTTCTCCAGAGAGCAGTGGAGGCAAAATTAGATTCTTAACTAACAAGGGACTCAACAGTGTATGTCATAGGCCTGAGAGGCATTGAGTGAATCATTGCTGACTTAATGTCACCCTTTTTGCCATGCCAACCTGTCGATCATCGTGAGAGAGCCTCAGCATTTGGATGCCTTGGCGCTGCAAATGTCTCATGCACCTCCTTAAACCTTCTCTTCTGCCACTGCCTTTTCACCACTGAGGAGGAATGGCATTCCAGGTCCTCCTCTTCACCCAGCTTCTGGTCTCTTTATTTTGTTAGGTTGTACAACCTGAACCAAAAGACATTCTGACTGGCTCACACTAGAGGGCATCACCCAACTGGTGAAGGCAGTGACTGAGATTTTTCCAAGGTGCCAGACTGAGCAATGCATGTTTGTGTTAATAGATGGTTCTGGTTGTAACACTTCACTACATCCATATCTGACTGCCTGATGGGGTTAGGAACCTCTTTTCGGAGGATAACCCTTAACCTCCAGTAAGCATCCAGGCAACTGGGTATTGGCCCGAAGAGGTGCAACTCCTTGAATGTTTGAAATATAAAGGAATCGTGACAGGTACCTGCCAATCAAGCTCAAGCTTACATGATGAGCTTCCTGTGATCACAGACCTGCTGAACATCCCTTGTGGAAGCCTTTTCTAATTAGCAATCTGGCTGATTGGTACCTTAATAGCTTAAAGGGTGCAAACAATGAACCCCTGGACACGAGGGGATCCATCTATGGCAGAAAATCTGAATGCCAGCTGTGCTGCCCTGACTTATCTGTTTCACAACGGGCTGGAATAGGGTTTCCACAACTTACTTTAGGATGTGATGAGCTGTCGCCTGGAAGATGTCTGGTGGGTGCACAGCTGATCTTTGGAAACACCCAGAATCATAAAATTTCAGGGTGTCGGTGACCTCGACAGCTTCATGTTGGTAATTGCCATAGGAGCCAGGAGGTATGCTGTCATTATGAACCAGAACACAAATGTCTGAAACAAGCTGTCGGGATAGTGCAGTCTCTTATAGTATTGTTACTCTTCAATTTGCAGATCGCTGATTCTTGGGCAGTATATCAGATGTCTTTGGTAGCTCCATTTTCCTCTTGCAGTCCTTGCCTCCTCTTGGCTGGGTGGCTGCATAGGAATGTAGGAACATTGATTGATTGATCGATTGACTGATTGATTTATTGTCACGTGTGCCGGAGTACAGTGAAAAACTTTGTTTACAAACAGTACAGGCAGATCACAGTAAGCAAGGATGTACAGATCAAAGGTTGTAAAAAAAACCTGACAGGCATACAGGTTACATTGCACAGGACGAGTGCTACGCGAGATCAACATTAACAAAACCAGCATTATTTGAGGCTAGAGAGTCCGTTCATCAGTCTGGTAATGGCCAGGAAGAAGCTGTTCCTGAGCCTGCTGGTGCATCCATTCAAGCTTCTGTACCTTCTGCCTGACGGAAGAGGTTGTAAGAGATCATTACCAGGGTGCAATGTGTCTTTGATGATGTTGGCAGCCTTTCCATGGCAACAAGCTGTGTAAATGAGACTTAGGTACAGGAATAATCTCTTGGGTCCTTTGAGCCTGCTCTACCTTTCTATAAGATCTGATTGTGATCTCAACTCCCCATTCCTGTCTGCACTCTATAACCCTTAACTCCCTTGTCTTCCAAAAGTCTAGTATCTGATGAAGTTCCTGCTTGCTACACTGTCCAATGTTAGACCAACCTGCTCCTCTTTCAACTTCCTTGATGACATTCATTTGCTTACCAAGGCATCTTCTTTCTACTTCTGAACCCCAATAATGCCAGGATTCTCACATCACTCTCAAGAGCCCTACTACTCACTGTTCACACTGGCAGCCAGTAGCAACTCTGTCACTGATTGAAAAGCTGAACGTTATTCTCTGTTTCTTAAGTGCAAGGATTAACATAAATCTTAACATCTGCATTAAAGAGTTCCTGGGTTTTGTACTTTATATATTTTAACATTTCATAGAGTGAGGGTGGAATTTTAAAGGGGTCTGAGCATCATGGGCGTAGCAAGATTTGTGTCAGAATCCAGAAAGGCTATCACAATGAGTCAGGCTGTTGCACACAATCAGTCAGGGAACTCCAAACACAATGGCTAGGGGGCTGCTCCGTCATGTCTAGGTAATGCTTGTTGATGTCAGTTCAGAGTCAGGGTTCATGTATTGATCATTGAGGAAGGTGAAAGGGAGGCCTGTAGTGGCAACAGGGGGATAGTGATGTCACTGTGGAACATGGCTCTGCAGTTAGTACTGCTGCCTCACAGCGCTAAGGACCCAGGTTCGATTCCACCCTTGGATAACTGTCTGTGTGGAGTTTGGACTTTCTCCCCATGTCTGCATGGACTTCCTCTCAGTGCTCTGGTTTCCTCCCACAGTTCAAAGATGTGTGGATCAGGCAGATTGGCCATGCTAAATTGCCCATAGTGTGGATTAGAATCATAGAATCCCTACAGTGTGGAAACAGTCCCTTTGGCCCAACAAGTCCACACTGACCCTTGAAGCATCCCACCCATCCCCATCCCCATCCCCCTATAACCCACCCAACCTACACACCCCTGAACACTACGGACAATTTAACACGGACAATCCACCTAACCTGCACATCTTTGGACTGTGGGAGGAAACCGGAGTAACCAGAGGAAACCCACGCAGACACGGGGAGAATGTGCAAACTCCAGTCGCCCGAGGGTGGAATTGAACCCAGGTCCCTGGTGCTGTGAGGCAGCAGTGCTAACCACTGAGCCACCGTGCTGCCCCAATTAGCATTGGGAAATGCAGTGTTACAGGGATAGGATAGGGAGGTGGGTCTGGGTGGGATGCTCTTTGGAGGGTTTTTATGGATTTGATGAGCCAAGTAGCCTGCTTCCACACTGTACGGATTGAAAACAAAAGGAGTGGTAGAATTAAGGCTAGTAGAGGGGAGTAACAGAGACATCTGTAGAGGTAGGGACAAGAACGGTGACAGAGGGAGAACTCAAGTTGAATGGGAGGTAACTGGAACAGCATCAGAAAGCATGGTGGAGTGCAGGAGGGTGCAGCTTATTGGTAGTGTCTATCACCATATCTTCCACAGGTGTACACTAGAGGACAAGGGTGGGCATCATTAAGATGTAACTTTGAGGCTTAGGCCTTTTGATGGAGGGCAGTTGTAGGTGAAGTTCAATGTGGTTGGTCTCCACATTTGGTCAAGGATGGAAATTGGCTGTTGGGGTAATGTGAGGTAATAGGGGACAAAAAAGTACTGTTAGCTAGGCAGAGCCTGGATGGTATCCACAGCGAGCTGCATTCTCTGCCGTCATTATCCATCCTCCAGATGCAAAATGCAACTAGAAAATGTCTGGGACAATACCCACTGTCACTTTGCTGGGCAAAAGCCTGGAAATCAAGTTGGTTGAATGATAGGACATTGAAAGAATAAATGTATGATGCAGTCTTTTGCAAACTTCGGTTGTTTATTATTTATAATCATTTAATTGACCATGTGCCATTCATGCAGAGTGAACATGCATAGCGTTCAAATGGTGGTCAAATGCAATCTGCACCAGGTCATTGATACTTGCAAATCTAAGTTGGCATCTCAATGATATATAAGTTAACAGCATTGACTTAAAAAGAGGTGAATGCTGATGAAAGGTAATGCATTACTTTTGTGACTTCCAAGGGGGCTGTGGGAGGTGAAGATCATTGATTCAACATCTGTCATGCAAGTTGAACAATAGTCTGCACTAAATGCATTGAAAAGTTGAATGATTGATGTGAATCTGGGATGGGAAAGGGGTCAGAGTGCAGTAGGCACTCCCTTTCAATATAAAGTGTTGGTCACTCAGCCGTCGTGGCAACTTCACCAAGTTGGTCACATGCTGAAGCTGAAGTTGAATGAATTATGTAGATATGGCCTTCATTATCAAGTTACTGCATATCTCACAGTCTGGAGGGGTGTCCAGTGGGCATTAGGGATAGAGGAGCATTGATTACAAAGGATATAGCTAAGGACATGTAAGCTGTGTAGCTGGTTAAAAACCTACAGGGTGAGAGAGAATGGGATTGTCTATGTAAGGGAGTGTCAGCCATGCTTGTTAAGTGCTATAGGCAGCCTGGATTTATGGTTGCTGTGCCACTATTTTGCATGGTGAAAAACTCTCCAAAAAACCTCAATGGAACTCGTATTTAAGCAAAAAAAAAAGTTCAGCCCAAAGTTTTAAAGCAACAATATTTTCCAGGGAATCAGAGCAGAAAACACCACAGTTAAGACTAGCATGTTACCCTTAAGTAGTTCAATACCATGATGGTCTTATGCAATAGACTAAATATGATTAACACTATTTGGGTAGATTTTCAAATGGAGATGAAAAAAGAGAAATGGAGAAAAAGTTTACAGAGAGTTAAACTAAAATTAAAACCTTTAATTTCTTCCTTCAGAATATTAGTAACATGACGACACTGGAGTATCAGCAATACATTCATTATTGCAAGTGATGTATAGTCTTTAAGATAGCAATTCATTGAGATAGATCAATAGAATGTTGAAGGAGCTGTATAACAATATGCCTAACAAAGACTGAACTGCTTCTGAAACATGTAACCAGTGATATCTGATTTATTAGTAAGGGTTATAAGAATAAGGACTGCAACTAATGGGACAATTGGCTTCTGGTTATCAAAGTTTGCTTTGTAACATTAACGGTTGTTTGGACAGATAATATAAAGTAGCACCAAATTCAAGTCTAGTTTTCATGGCTTGAGGTTTATGAAAAATATCATTTTGGCAATTTTTCTTTTCGTTGGTCTGTAATTGAATTAAAAAATATAGGGATGTAAGTTGGTTTGCCCCAGAAATGGACATGGGTATCATGAAACACAACTGCTGTATTGAGTGGCATACAAGCAATGTGCCAATTTCATACTGCCTGCTCATTATCAATTGTACTTCAATTGTATTTATGTACGCGGAGGGTATTAAACAGGACATATAATGGTTGTAGCATATGAACAGAGTCATTCTGCAACTAAATCTGACCTAGGAAATAGGAATCAATGTCTGAGCATTTCAGGGAGAGCTATTTTCCAGATTTGTAAGAATCCTGGGCCCACCTGGGGTTTCAGGACATCTTTATTTTCACCTCCTCCAATAGGATTCCCAGCCAATCTAGCAGCATCTGTACAAAGAGAATGACAGCTAACTTTCTGATGAAAGGTCAGCAATCACTGTCAGCTAGGCCTTACATGTAATATTTATATGCTTTACCTCACCCTTGCACACATAGCATTTTTGCAAGTCTAAAACCCGCCTCTCATAGATAAGACACCCCAGCAGATTTTCAACCATAACTGCCGCAGCACCCAAACATATTGCATGACTGACCCTCTTACCTTTCTCTTTCAGAAGAAGGTGGAACATAACTTGAGGTGGCAGGAACTAACTGGAGGGAGTGCCTGCATGTATCCATAGAGGAGATGGTGCTAATCATTAGGGAAATGTCATGGCCAGCAGCAAGAGGCTGGAAGATGAATGTATTGACCAACTTAATCCTCTTTCTCTCATTCCACTGTCCCCTCATTCTACAGTGCCTTCTGACTTAGAAGCTGCTGATGGTATGAGGATGCACTACATGCTTTCTCCTCCCTCTGTATTCAGTTTTCTTTTCAGATACCCAGGAACTGCAACATGTCTCGATGGCGGAGGAAGAGCACATAAGCAGCAAAGATGAAGACACACTGTTACCTGATTGCATATTCTCAGACACCAGCTTAGACAGTGACACAATGTGTAACTTTGAGGAGAGGATAGAGGCAGGCTCTACGCAGAGTAAGACATTGGGCATAAGAGAACTGCAGCCACAACAGAGGCAAAAGATGGCACAGATGCAAGCTTGTCAGAAGACATGGTCACAAGTGTGTTCTGCTGCAAAGGACTCAAATGATGATTTTGATGTGAATTTTATACAGAAGATGCTTGGAGAATTGGAAAACCCATCAGAAAGCCTATGTTCTATGATAAGAAGTGTGGAGGGATCTGGCATCAACTTGTCACAATGCTTTGCACAGATCATGAAGCCCATTTTTCCAACATCAATCCACCTTCATTAACATGCCCACAGAGCCAACCATCATCTGATTGTCAATGTCTTAGCCTACATCACAATGCAATCAGCACCCACTCAATGCCTGATTGCTACAATAATCTCAAACTGCTAAAGTACAATCTCAGTTTGGTGGCATAGATGCTCAGAGTAAGCATGCGGGCGCAATAGGCAATAAAGAAAGCAAATGTTGACCTTCATAGCAAGAGGTCAGGAGGATTGAGTACTGGAATGGGGTGTCTTAGTGCAATTTTACAGGGCCTTGGTGAGACTACACCTGGAATAATGTGTCTCCTTATCTGATAAAGCATGTTTTTGCTATAAAGGGAGATCAGTGAAGGTTTATCAGACTGATTCCTGGGATGACAGGACTGATGCATGAGGAGAGGTTGAGTTGATTGAATTATATTCATTGGCATTCAGAAGAATGAATGGAATCTCATAGAAACCTATAAAGTTCTAATAAGACTAGACAGGGTAGATGGAAGAATGTTCCAGATAGCAGGGGAGTTCAGATGCAGTGACCACAGGATAAATGTGGGATAAATCATTTAGGACTCAGGTGAGGAGATATTTCTTCCCCCAGAAAGTGGTGAATCTGTGGAATTCACTACCACAAAAACAGTTGAGGTCAAAACATAATATGATTTCAAGAAGCACTTGAGGCTAAAGGTGTCAAAGCAGGAACAGGCAAATGAGTTGGATGATCAGCCATGATCATAATTAATGGCAGAGCAGGCTTGAAGGATCATATGACCTACTCCTGCTCCTAAGTTTTTATGTTTCTATGCAGTACTGTCATGGTGGCTGTGGATACAATTGTGCTTCTAGGGCAGCATAACATTCCCGCAACCTGTGCTTAAGTAGATCTGCTCAATTAAGGTTTTCTTCTGTATGGTCTCCTGGTGAGATCCTTCTCTTACTCTTCCTCCTTTTTCTTCCAGCAACTTATCATGCTCTATGTGTTCTACTCATTCTCCGAGTCATGCTTGATGCCAAGAAGAAGCCATACTAGGCCACCAACTGTCATGAAGCATCTAGTGATGCACGATGCATGAAGTCACCAAAAAAAAACTTCAGCATCTTTCGGATCCATGAAGATTATTGAACCTTTTCACAAGTATGGAAAAGCAGAATTGTAGCACCAGGCAGGAGAGAAAATTCAGTTAGACAGCCAACTTATATTTGGTTAATTGTCCCTTTAAAAAGCATTAGTAGGTCATTATTCAAGCCATTAAACAAGTCTTCCAATATGGAAGGTTAAGAGAGGACACAGCCTGGAGCATGAGCTCAAAAATAGAACGTGATGGAGCCAAACCAGCATTGGACATTGATTAACATCATGATTTGACTGGCCTACACTCTGTTGGTGGATATCAAATTTTGTATGCTAACCTTTTTATCGATCTGTTCCCAGCACACTTTTCATCATTGTGGCGAGAATGTCATTTTGGAACAGTAAGGGGTCTGGTGATGACAAGGAAACAGGTACCACTGAACCCATTTCACATCCAGCAGATATGATCTGATATTTGACATGGCGTGATCAAAGTTTTGACAGAAAAGAACAGAAGTAATTTAGCATATAGCATAATAATTGAGAGAGTTTAGAATCCAACTCTATAGTTGTGCCAAAATAACTTTGTTTACCCAAGTTACAAGTCCTTCCAAAGCAAGTAACAAAGCATAAGACAGGATTATTTTCTTTAATTTTAACAGTCACATTCACAAAAAAGTTAATAAAAATGTGAAATTTGTCCTTAAGTTCACATCTAAGACAAAAATGAGGAGGAATTTCTTCTCTCAGAGGGTAGTGAATCTGTGGACTTTTTTACTACAGAAGGCTGTTGATGCTGGGTCTTTAAGTTTATTCAAGGCTGAGAGAGATTTTTAATCAGTGAGCGGATAAAGGGTTATGGGGAAAAGACAGGAAAGTGGAGTTGAGGATTATCTGATCAGCCATGATCTCACTGAATGGCAGAGCAGACTCAATGGGCTGAATGAGGTACTTTAGTTCCTCTCTCTTATGGTCTTAACACAGAAAAGGCATATTTAATACCTTTCTGAACCAACTAAAAATATTTATATTGCTAAGGAATATTAGAAAATGCAGTGACAGAATAAAGCTGCAAAGTGATTTGCTTAAATTATTGAATTCCAATGACCTGAATTGAAAGAACAAGAAAAGCCCCTAACTGTCCCATTTGTCAGCACAAATGTTGCACTGCGACAGATCCCACTGATGGGTTGCGATTGTCTGCAATGTATCTTCTAAATGGTACACACTGCTGCTACTGAGTGTCAGTGATGGAGGAAATGAATGTTTGTGGACGTGGTGCCAAACAAGCAGGTTGCTCTGTCCTGGATCTTGTCAAGCTTCTTGAGAGTGTTTTTGGAGCTGTGCTCATCCAGGTGAGTGGGGAGCATTCCATCACACTGCTGACTTAGATTCATAGAGTCATACAGCACAGAAACAGACCCATCGGTGCAATTCGACCACATTGACCAGACATCCCAATCTGACCTAGTCCCATTTGCCAGCATTTGGTCCATATCTCTCTAAACCCTTCCTATTCATATACCCATCCAGATGCCTTTTAATTGTAATTGTAGCTACCTCCACCACTTCCTGTCACAGCTCATTCCATTTGCACACTACACTCTGTGTGAAAAAGTTACTCTTCAGGTCCATTCTAAGTCTTTCCCTTCTCTATGCCTTCTTGTTTTGGACTATCCCAACCTAGAAAAAAGACGTTGGCTATTCACCCAATCCATGCCCCTCATGATTTTACAAACGTCCATAAATGTCACCCCTCAGCCCCTGATGCTCCAGGAAAAAAAGCCTCAGACTATTAGCCTCAGTCTATAACTCAAACCCTCCAGTCCTGGAAACATCCTTGTAAGTCTTTTCTGCACCCTCTCAAGTTTAACAACATCCTTCATATAGAGGGGTGACCAGAATTGTACGCAGTATTCTAAAAGTGGCCTCACCAATGTCCTGTACAGCCACAACATGACACCCCAACTTCTATACTCAATGTTCTGACCAATGAAGTTAAACATTTCAAACGCCTTCTTCACCACCCTATCTATCTGTGACTCCGCTTTCAAGGAACTATGCACCTATATCCCCAGATCTGTTTGTTCGGCAGGGGCCTACCATTAATTATATAAGTTCTGCCTGATTTGCCTTACCAAAATGCAATACGTCATATTTATTTAAATTGAACTCCATCTGCCACTCCTCGACCCAATGACCCGTCTGATCAAGGCCCCGTTGCACTCTGAGATCATCTTTTTCACTGTCCACTACACTACCTATTTCAGTATCATTTGCAAACTTATTAACCATAGCTCCTATATTCATATCCAAAGCATTTACATAAGTCATGAAAAGCAGTGGACTCAGCCCCGATCCTTGTGGCACACTGCTGGTCACAGGCCTGCAGTCTGAAAAGCAACCTTTTTACCACCATCCTTTGTCTCCTACCTCCAAGCCAATTTTGTATCCAATTCACTAGCTTCCCCTGGATCCCACGTGATCTAACCTTACTAACCAGTCTACCATACGGAATCTTGTTGAATGCTTTGCTGAAGTCCATATAGACAATGTCCACTGCTCTGCCTTCATCAATTTTCTTTGTCACTTCTTCAAATATCTCAAACAAATTAGTGAGACATGATTTCCCACACGTAAAGCCATGTTGACTCCCTAATCAGTCCTTATCTTTCCAAATATATGTAAATCCTGTCCTTCAGAATTCCATCCAACAACTTACCCAGTACTGATGTAAGGCTCACCAGTCTATAGTTCCCTGGCTATTTCTTACAGCCTTTCTTAAACAATAGCAGCACATTAGCCACCCTTCAGTCTTTCGACACCTCATCCATGGCTGTTGATGATACAAATATCTCAGCAAGGGGCCCAGAAATCTCTTCCCTAGCTTCCTACAAAGTTCTGGGAAACACCTAACCAGGTCACAGGGATTTATCTATCTTTATGCATTTTAAGACGTCCAGCAACTCCTTCTCCACAATATGGACACGTTTAGAGACATCACTATTTATTTTCCCAAGTTCTCTAGCTTCCATGTCCTTCTCCACAGTAAATAGTGATGCAAAATATTCTTTTAGTCTCTCACCCATCTCCTGTGGTTCCACACATAGATGACCACGTTGACCTTTAAGGGGTCCTATTCTCTACCCAGTTACTCTTTTGTCCTGAATGTACTTATAGAATTTCTTTGGATTCTCCTTAACTCTTTTTGCCAAACTATCTCATGTCCCCTTCTTGCCCTTCTGATTTCCCTTACTGCCCTGGTACTCCTCTAGGGATTCACTCGATCCCAGCAGTCTAAATCTGACATATGCCTCTTTTTTTTTGACCAGAGCCTCAATTTCTCTAGTTCTAGCATTCCCTACACCTATGACCTGTGGCTTGCAGATGGTGATCAGTCTTTGGGGAATTAGGAGATGAGTTATTTGTCACAAATTTCCTAACCTTTAACCTGCTCTTGTAGCCATGATATTTATATGGCTGGTCCAGTTCAGCTTCTGGTCAATGTTACCTTCAAGAATTTCCATAGTATCCAGAAAAAAAGTGAAATTAACTAACTGTAAGTGATCCAGGAAGATATCCCAGTGTCAACAGCTTGAGTGGAAGCTGACTTTGGCTGTGGGCCTGCAGTTGGATAATCTGGGAGCAATTCTCCTGAATGTAACTGTTACTTGACCAAAATACTTATAAGATAACCCTCTGCAGAGTTTATGTTTTTTCGGGCTTGGAGGAGGTTTTGCACACTATTCTCCAAGTAGGGTAAATTGATATATTTGTACATTTTAGATTTTTTGTTAAGGCTCTTTGCATTTTTGCTACAGTAAGTTTTTTTTTACAATAAAATAGCTATTTATTTGTTATTGTGGAACCTGGCTGATTTGTTTCTGATACTGAGCAATATGCTGTCTGTTATAAAATTGGCAATATTATTTTCCATTTCAAATTCAAACTTTGTTGTGGCCAGAAGAGGAATGAGACAAGGAAAGGAGTCAGTCTACCCCTCCTAATTGAATTGTTACAATACTATTATTATGAACATAAAATTGTAGCTGGAAAATAATTGGAAGAGAGGCAGAGACCTAATACTGAAACAGGGTATAAATTCTGGGACCAAAACATATGTGTATTTGGGATCTTCAGAGCCAGGCAGACTGGCCCTGGTGATTGCAGTGGTGTGAGAGTGGGTGGGGATCCTGTGATCCCTAGCTAGTGTTGGAGCCTTAGACTTGGTGTCAGTCATTGCCCTTTCAACCAGTGGTGTCCCAAAATCCAGCAACACCTGCAATGCAGGCAAATTCCCAGAGAAACAGAAAATGATCTTAATGATCTACTTAAGTGTTTCATTTATCCTCCTGATGGGCTATCAATGTACCAATGTTACTAATGTGGAAAAATGATAAGATACCATCCTGATGCCTTCCCAAGTCACTTTGTCAGGCTTCCTCACCACCCCCAGCCCATGCTCAAAGGATTCATAAAATTCCAATCACTCACTTTTTCTTTCTCCATGGATGCTGGCCAGAGCTGCTGACTACTTCCAGTATTTTATGTTTTTAGAACATTTTTGGGCTCCAGCTGCAACTGCTGAGATGGAAAATTATATTGTTTAAGTTGTTTTTAAAAAATTTAAATGAAACAAAAATTCAAAAGGAGGCTAGATGAACTACTATGCCATTGCCAGCTCTTTTAAAGTGTTAATTGATAAGTTTGATTCTCCTGCTCATTCTCCACAGCATTCCATTTTTATTCCTTTCAAACATACATCCAATTCCATTTTGAAAGTTACATTTAAATTGGCTCCAAGTTGGGCACTCTAGATCGTAACAACTCACTTCATAAAAAGTCTAGGAAAATGAGTTAGAATAACGTCAAACAGAAAATTCTCAATATTTCCGAGATAAATGGTGGCTAGTCACTTAGAATTCAGAGATGGCTAATATAGGACGCTAAGATGTTTT